ATCCTGGTCCATGTGGGCTTCCTGACGGAGGAGTCTGGGGATGTTTTTAGTCCAAAGGTACTGAAGGGGGGTCCTCTGGGGGAGATGGTCCAGTGGGCTGACATTCTCACGGCCCTCCATGTTCTGGGACACAACCTCAAGATCTCGATGTCTGTTAAGGAGCTACAAGGGTGAGTTCTGTTCTCCAACACCAGTACTTGCTTTGTTGACCATCGCGGGTTGCTGGGATTTAAAATGTACCCATACTGAGTTTGTTGTTTTTTTCTGGTAGAAGTCATAGCTAAGAGTAGTTCCATTTGTGACTCCTTGTCTGTTTACGTTTCTCCGTCCTTCTGCCTGTGACCTGGAGCCTGATCTCAGATCATGACCATTTTGAAGCATGTCCAAATTATAAGAATTAATGTCATTAACTCATTCACCGCCATTGACGACTAAAGTCGTCATTTTAGATCCAACCGTTCACTGCCAATGTCGGCTAAAGTCGTCATTTGCATTTTTTTACTGTTTGAGCATCGGAATGAGCCCCCGCGCTGAGAGAACAAACATCTCAGCCCTGAAGCCGATCTTCATCCGTATACGTCACAGATCACATGATCAGGAAGCAACACAACCATGTGTAAGGAGATCGTTTTGGGCCGTTCCTGTAAAAAAAGTGAGGCGCGAACCAGGAAAGCGTCTGCCGATCACAATTCGACAACGGATTATGAAAGAACGGATAACGCTCGAAACACGCCGCTTCTTCCTGATGTAAGAGGGGAGTCTCCTCTTTGTTTTGGTTGTTTTGGTTGTTTTGGCGTCGACATCATGCTAGCATGCAACGTTCTGTGACTCTTAAAAAAACTGTAAGAACGGTGAGAAACGCTGGCAGCGAAGGCCGTTAGTGGTCAGGAAACGGCCGACAGTGAACGAGTTAAAACATGATTGAGTTGTTTAGATATTGGTAATTTTTTTAATGCATCATTTGCAGAAATCGTTGGTTTTGTGTTCTTATCTTACACATAGAGTAGCAACGTTTTTACCTCACTGTTACGACCCCGACATGTGCTGTTAAAATGCGAAGGAGGGGGTAACACAGGAAACACGATAGCGGGTTTAAAATGGGTGTAATTGTTATAAAAAGGTTCTAAAAACAAGTGCAAACAGATGGCGAGCATTATTTAATTCCAAACAAAAGTTCTCAAAAAGGTTAACATTACAAGATCAATTACCAACATTTAAAAACACCTGGTTAAAACTTGTGTTAACCAAACAGAAGCAGTTTTTAAAAACCGGAGTCAATAAAATTGTCACCAAAATAACCTTCGAAACGATTCCTCTGGATCACTCAGAGCTTTACCCTTGAAACGCTCATCACTCAGAGTTAAAACTACCAAAGTTAAAACCCATCAAAAGAAAGGGGCTGAAACAAACTCTGAGGCCTGGAGGACAGCAGAACCCCTGAACTTCTGCCTCCCAGACTGTTGAAGGCGCAGCCTTTTTATCCCAGGTGTGGGTCGTCAGAGGGATTCGTCTCAGCTGTGCTCCTCAGCAGCCTGGAGGGGAGGAGGAGGGGCGGTGTCAGGCTGATCACCAGGGCTGGGTGATCCTGGCTCCTGCATCCAAAGTGGCCAGGCTGGTGCCCATAACTCTTAGGCCTAGTCCACACGTAGCCGGGTTTTTTAAAAACGAATATCCGCCCCTCCAAAAACTTGCATCCACACCACCTCGTTTTAAAAATAACTCTGTCCACACGTACCCGGATAAATACGTTGTTAAGGACATGCCAGGCCTGTAGGCGGCAGTACTTCCCCCGTTCTTAACCTCGTCCTTCGTCTGTGGTCTTCCGCAAGGAGCAGTAATCCCGCTTGCAAAAACAAACAAGCAGAAAGCGCTTGGACAATTGATAAAGCGAGCGCAGCTCTGAGGGCATCCATGCTGTCGGCTAGTGTAAACACAGGTCGCACACGTGATGTCAGCATTTTTTTGTCGCGGAAAGTGACGTTGCGGACCTTAAAACTCCGGTTTTGTCCGTCCACACGCAGACACCCAAAACGGAGAAAACGCAGATCTTCACTTTGGCCGGAGTTTTTAAAAAGATCCGTTTTCGTGTGAAAAAACTCAGTTTTCGTGTGGATGACAGGCCAAAACGTAGAAAAATATCTACGTTTTGGCAGATCCCCGGCTACGTGTGGACAGGGCCTTACTTTGCTGACAGTTTTGGCTACTTCACCCTGGAATAACTTTGTACTCTGATTAGATCATATTCTCTTTGCACCCAGTTCTTTCTGCATGTCCTGTTGATTTGTCTCTGCATGGACCTCCCACTGGTGGTGGGACTGTGTGGGTTTTTATCCCGTGTCAGCATGTTTCTGCTGACGGCTACAGCTGTACATCCAACACGCAGGCTACTGCTATGGTTGATGGTGTGCACCAAGATCATGAATATTGTGGGAGAAGAACTGGATGAAGTCTGCTTTGGTTTAGCCCACATACTGATTCTTTCCACCATTGTTGATCACGGCTATGGCACAAGAACAGAGTTTCCATCAATATCTGCTGAAAATTTGTACCACCTTAACAGATTCTCACAAATCAGAAAAAAAGCACCACAGTGAGCCTTTGATGTGTGTGTTAAGCCTCTGTAGGGCAGAGGAGAGGAGAGGAACTTCTCGAGGTGTTTGTATTATATAAATAGGTACAATTGGCTGACAAGCTACAACAATAATTACATCCATCCATTCTCTTCCGCTAATCTGGGGTCAGTTTGCAGAGGCAGCAGCCTAAGCAGGGACGCTGGGACTTCCCTTTCCCCACTTGGGCCAGCTCCTCCGGGGGAATCCCAAGGTGTTCCCTGGCCACCTGAAAAACATAGTTCCTCCAGAGTGTCCTCACCAGGACAGCATCCAGGAGGCATCTTTTTTCACTTACACATCAGTGCCGACACGGCCCCTAAAAGTACCAAACAGCACCGGAATTTGGTTTCACACACAGGTCAAATTTTCGTTTCGGTTCCGAGACGACTCTTTTTCTCAGACCTTCTCCCCAGCGGTCAGACTGGGACCGAGGCGACGCTACGGACTGATTGGCCGACTGGAATTACGCCTACCGCCTCCGATATGTGATGACTGAGCCAGGTGGGGGGGGGGGGGGGGGGGGGGTGTTCATTGTCATGCTGGATGCTGTTGAGTGAACTTTTGTCTGCACCACAGAGCTGCTGTTCTGGAGCTGCTGATCAGTGTGGGAATGAAGAAGCGAATAGCTGTGTGTGTGTGTGTGTGTGTGTGTGTGTGTGTGTGTGTGTGTGTGTGTGTGTGTGTGTGAGTGCATGCGCGCGCGTGCGTGCGTGCGTGCGTGCGTGTGTGTGTGTGTGTGTGTGCTTCAGAGTCTCCAAAAGCAACACAGCTCATGTCCGCCTTTGTTTACCTTGTAATGGAGGACACCGCGGACCTTCCCGCGCGTAGTACACTCCGCCCACAGGCTCGGGGATTTCCGCATTCCTGAGAAGTCCCTCAGATTTATATGTGAACACTACACCGCCCGTTCGAGACCGAACTCACGCCATCCAGCCCGACCAAACCCCGACCGTGCTGACGCTAATGTGTAAGCGCCACCAGCAACCTCATCTGGTTCCTCTCGATGTGGAGGAGCAGCAGGTCTACTCCAAGCTCTTCCCGGATAACCGAGCTTCTCACTCTTGATTAAACAGAACAACTCGACCACCCGCTGATATGAAATGATTCTCGTAAAGAATGTCTCAACATTAATAATGTTGTTGATTTTTTTTCCTGCAATCAAGAATCCTCACTGTAGTAACTCATCCCACATCCATTTTAAGCGTATGGCTTATTTTCCTCGTCTTTCCTTGTCTATGTGGGAGTAAAGGCTGCAGCCTATCACTGGGACAGTGAATGTCACTGAAAAGTGCTTTCTTAAAGTCACCTTTTTCCTCCTAAGATGTTTTTTTGTCTCCAGTAAAACCTGCTGAACTACTTCATTGATTTTCACATCATTTTATTTAAAAAAAAAAACCCTAAAGTAGCAGCAGGACTTCTCACAGCGAACTCAACACAAACATGCCACATGGTAAAGAGCTCTGTTCACCTAAAACATCAATGACTAAATCAATTCTGGGGAAACGTGCTGTTCAAAAGAGGAAACTGTTGTTAACCATTAGTGACACACTGCTGCACTGTTAATGCTTCTGTGTGTTCAGGCACTCAAACGTCAGAGCAGAGCTGCAAACATGATGCACTTAGTCAGGATTTTAAAAGAGAAATATCGATTTTTGGCACCGACATAAACTGATAAACCCTTTAGAAAATGTTATTAGCATGCAGAAAATTGGGACAAAGCAAGAAGAACTGTAGGTTTCCTACTCTTCTGTACAAAACAAAGCCTTCATCAAAAGGATAATTAATGCCAGAGGCTCAGTAAGAATTCCTAGTTTTGGCTCAAGGTCAATATTTTAAACCACATTTTTTTGGTGCTTTTTTTTCATATTTTCTTGACTCTGTTTCTTTGCATGGGAAGCAACACCTGTAAGCCTTTTTCTTTGTTTTTTGTTCCTAAGATGAGATCAGATTTCTGACGTTTCTAGCATCCTGCATCTCAAAAACTGATGGATGGTCAGATGGATGGAACTGCAGAGCTTAGCAGACAAAAGGAGTCTGAAATAAATCAATAAAAACTGAACTAAAGGGGTTCTCAGAGAACACAGTCTTCTACCATGATGACAAATTGTCTGACAACCTGGATCTGGGAACAGCTTTGTTTAGTCGTGGCCCACTTCGACTATTTCATGTAACAAAGCTGAGCAAAAGATTTCATCCGTTATGGTGTTTGTGGATGAAAAGAGAAGGATGCATTTGCTTTGGAGATCGTTTCTTCTCAGCTCCACACAGCGGTGTGTCCAGATCTTTTAAAATGGGGTGGCCCAGGTGAGGCACAATTTTGTGCATGGGTGGCACCAGTGGTTGTGCTTTTTTTTTTTTTTTTACCTCCAAGCCTTTTGAGGACAATGAAAAGCCTATTTAAAGCTAAATTAGTGTGGTGGCACCTGGGGTGGCCAATCAGATTCCAAAGGTGGCATGTGCAACCCCAGACCACTCCCTGGACACGCCCCTGGCTCCACATGCAAACACAACGAAACATCACAGAGGCCTTGTGCATAAAGCTGGCATCTGGAGTCTGA